CATCCTGCAGCTGGTGAGTCCTGGAGATGTTTGATCTTCATCCTGGATCCATGTTGGGATTCCTGAATGATTCCCTTTAGAAACTGAGTGAGCCGTTGGATTTGTGAGGAAGAAGATCTGCAGGATGAAGAACGGATGAGTTTGAATGATTGAAGAAAATCTGGTTTCACGTCACAGAACCAAAAACTAGTTTAGTTTGAACTTTCAGAAACAGAGATGAGTGCTCCTGAGCCCACTGAGAGGAGAAGGAGCAGCTCCAACATGAAGCTTCCTCTTCATCATGTTGGAGACCTTAATGGAAATGCGTTCCCAGTCTCCTCTTCCTCCTCTTCCTCCTCCTCCTGCCTGGGGGAGTCGTCCCCGGAGTCCCTGCGGAGTCTGAGCAGTCTGAGTGGGAGGTGTGCCGACAGCCCGCTGGACTGCGAACTGCTGGAGGTCACCCTGATCACCTCCATCTCCAAAACCCAGAGGACCACAGACGTGGTTCTCTCTCAGTGGCAGCCAGAAGAGGCGGGGCCTCAACGTGATGATGATGATGATGATGATAATTCAGTGGGAGGAATACCGACTGAATCCATTGATACCTCTGTTTCCGTTTACCTGGACGCCAGCAGTGGCATTTACATCCATGATACCTGGAGAGACCACCTGACATCATCGCTGAACTCAAACAGTGGTTGTCATGGTAACAGTGAAGATGTAGACAGTGGCAGTAGCGTCACGAGGAGGTGTAGCTCCTCCAACCCAGACTCTGATGCCACAGAGACTCCAGCTGATGATGATGATGATAATGAAGAGGTTCTGTTTCTCTCTGTGAGCTCTGACATGTGTGTGACACTTACACAGGTGAATACAGGTGTGCTACCAGCAGGGGCGGAGCCTGTGGTTGATGACAAAAACTCAGTGACGGATTCTGTAGGACCTCAGATTCCTCTGGACGTTCCTCGGGACCTCAGAGGAAGCTCCCAGATGTTTTCTTCTACATGTTCCACCAAAGCTCCTGGTGGTGATGCTTCAGCTGTCCCACCTCCTCCTACTCCTCCGCCTTCTGCTCCTCCCGATGAAGCTGAAATACACAAACTACAAACTAAACCAGTGCCAACACCCAAACAAGCTGCTGTCCCACCATCCAGCCTGGAAGCAAAAAGATTTAACAAACTGGATCTCAGACCTGCCCAGACGAAAACTGGATTAAGGAGCAACACATCTCCAGCTAAGACACCTTTCCAGGTACTGAGGTTGTACTAGATCCATGACCTGGAACCACACAGGTGTTCTCCATTGTTTAAACCCTGTTTTCTTCTCAGATCAAACCAGCTCCAGTTGGTAGAAGGAATCCCATTTCCAGGATGGTGCAGGGTGATGGGAATAAAAAACCTGGTCCAATCAAAGTGGCTGTTCTGAAACCCATCAGAACCAAAAGCCCTAATCCAAAAACCAGCCACAAGATGGCAGCAACATCTAATCTAGCTAATCAACAGAACAGGAAGCTGACCATCAGTCGGATCTCTTCAGATGGTTCCCAGGGGTCTGAGGTGGAGGGAGAAGGACCCCCAAACGCTCCCAAGATGGCTGTCGAGGAAGTGCCTAAAGACCCAGATATCAAAAGTCCAGGTGGAGCATCAGTCCTGAAGGGGAGCCCCGCCGGTTCTGTCATGGTAAGAACATTTCTGTCTGAGTCATAACTAAACAAACCAGTATAAAACCACAATAAACCAGTATAGGAGCTAAATCAACCAGTACATGACTATAATTAACCAGTACATGACTATAATTAACCAGTACATGACTATAATTAACCAGTATGTGACTAAAATTAACCAGTACATGACTATAATTAACCAGTACATGACCAAAATTAACGAGTACATGACCTAAATTAACGAGTACATGACCTAAATTAAGGAGTACATGACCTAAATTAACCAGTACATGACCTAAATTAACCAGTACATGACTAAAATTAACCAGTACATGACCTAAATTAACCAGTACATGACCTAAATTAACCAGTACATGACTAAAATTAACCAGTACATGACCTAAATTAACCAGTACATGACCTAAATTAACCAGTACATGACTAAAATTAACCAGTACGTGACTAAAATTAACCTGTACATGACCAAAATTAACCAGTACATGACCTAAATTAACGAGTACATGAATATAGTTAACGAGTACATGACTAATTAACCAGTACATGACTAAAATTAACCTGTACATGACCAAAATTAACGAGTACATGACTAAAATTAACCAGTACATGACTAAAATTAACCAGTACATGACCTAAATTAACCAGTACATGACCTAAATTAACGAGTACATGAATATAGTTAACGAGTACATGACTAATTAACCAGTACATGACTAAAATTAACCTGTACATGACCAAAATTAACCTGTACATGACTAAAATTAACCAGTACATGACTAAAATTAACCAGTACATGACTAAAATTAACCTGTACATGACCAAAAGTAACCAGTACATGACCAAAAGTAACCAGTACATGACCAAAAGTAACCAGTACATGACCAAAAGTAACCAGTACATGACCTAAATTAACCAGTACATGACTAAAATTAACCAGTACATGACCTAAATTAACCAGTACATGACCTAAATTAACCAGTACATGACTATAATTAACCAGTACATGACCAAAATTAACCAGTACATGACCTAAATTAACGAGTACATGAATATAGTTAACGAGTACATGACTAATCAACCAGTACATGACTAAAATTAACCTGTACATGACCAAAATTAACGAGTACATGACTAAAATTAACCAGTACATGACTAAAATTAACCAGTACATGACCTAAATTAACGAGTACATGAATATAGTTAACGAGTACATGACTAATTAACCAGTACATGACTAAAATTAACCTGTACATGACCAAAATTAACGAGTACATGACTAAAATTAACCAGTACATGACTAAAATTAACCAGTACATGACCTAAATTAACCAGTACATGACCTAAATTAACGAGTACATGAATATAGTTAACGAGTACATGACTAATTAACCAGTACATGACTAAAATTAACCTGTACATGACCAAAATTAACCTGTACATGACTAAAATTAACCAGTACATGACTAAAATTAACCAGTACATGACTAAAATTAACCTGTACATGACCAAAAGTAACCAGTACATGACCAAAAGTAACCAGTACATGACCAAAAGTAACCAGTACATGACCAAAAGTAACCAGTACATGACCAAAAGTAACCAGTACATGACCAAAAGTAACCAGTACATGACCAAAAGTAACCAGTACATGACCAAAAGTAACCAGTACATGACCAAAAGTAACCAGTACATGACCAAAAGTAACCAGTACATGACCAAAAGTAACCAGTACATGACCTAAATTAACCAGTACATGACTATAATTAACCAGTACATGACCAAAAGTAACCAGTACATGACCAAAAGTAACCAGTACATGACTAAAAGTAACCAGTACATGACCTAAATTAACCAGTACATGACTAAAAGTAACCAGTACATGACCTAAATTAACCAGTACATGACTATAATTAACCAGTACATGACCAAAAGTAACCAGTACATGACCAAAAGTAACCAGTACATGACCAAAAGTAACCAGTACATGACTATAATTAACCAGTACATGACTATAATTAACCAGTACATGACTATAATTAACCAGTACATGACTATAATTAACCAGTACATGACCAAAAGTAACCTGTACATGACCAAAAGTAACCAGTACATGACCAAAAGTAACCAGTACATGACCAAAAGTAACCAGTACATGACCAAAAGTAACCAGTACATGACCAAAAGTAACCAGTACATGACCAAAAGTAACCAGTACATGACCAAAAGTAACCAGTACATGACCAAAAGTAACCAGTACATGACTATAATTAACCAGTACATGACTAAAATTAACCTGTACATGACCAAAAGTAACCAGTACATGACCAAAAGTAACCAGTACGTGACCAAAAGTAACCAGTACGTGACCAAAAGTAACCAGTACGTGACCAAAAGTAACCAGTACGTGACCAAAAGTAACCAGTACATGACTATAATTAACCAGTACATGACTATAATTAACCAGTACATGACTATAATTAACCAGTACATGACCAAAAGTAACCAGTACATGACCAAAAGTAACCAGTACATGACCAAAAGTAACCAGTACATGACCAAAAGTAACCAGTACATGACCAAAAGTAACCAGTACATGACCTAAATTAACCAGTACATGACTAAAATTAACCAGTACATGACCTAAATTAACCAGTACATGACCTAAATTAACCAGTACATGACCAAAAGTAACCAGTACATGACCAAAAGTAACCAGTACATGACTAAAATTAACCTGTACATGACCAAAAGTAACCAGTACATGACCAAAAGTAACCAGTACATGACCAAAAGTAACCAGTACATGACTAAAATTAACCAGTACATGACCTAAATTAACCAGTACATGACCTAAATTAACCAGTACATGACCAAAAGTAACCAGTACATGACCAAAAGTAACCAGTACATGACTAAAATTAACCTGTACATGACCAAAAGTAACCAGTACATGACCAAAAGTAACCAGTACATGACCAAAAGTAACCAGTACATGACCTAAATTAACCAGTACATGACTAAAATTAACCAGTACATGACCTAAATTAACCAGTACATGAATATAGTTAACGAGTACATGACTAATTAACCAGTACATGACTAAAATTAACCTGTACATGACCAAAATTAACGAGTACATGACTAAAATTAACCAGTACATGACTAAAATTAACCAGTACATGACCTAAATTAACCAGTACATGACCTAAATTAACGAGTACATGAATATAGTTAACGAGTACATGACTAATTAACCAGTACATGACTAAAATTAACCTGTACATGACCAAAATTAACCTGTACATGACTAAAATTAACCAGTACATGACTAAAATTAACC